ATATATATATATATACTGATTACTGCATTTTATTTGCGTATCTTCATATTCTTTTTTTCTTTATGAATGTAACATTTGAAGCTGTAGTTCATTCTTTTACCTTCTCCTGCCATATCAATCTACACACTGTACAGCAATTTGGTCTTATTGTTACTGTTATTGTTGTATCTCTTTTGACTTCAATAAAATACTATTATGGAAAAAAAATTGAGGAGAAAGTAATCTGAATGTGTTTCACTAACTTGGACTGCAGCCTGTGGTGAGCAATAAAGGGCAGAGATCCACAATAACATGTTTACCCCTAAACCCAAAAAGGCCATACTAGTCTTCAAGAACTGCCAATCCACCCAAAGCCCTTGTCCGCATCAGTAGAAAGGAACATCAACTGAGAGGTCCTCATTCTTGCGGAGTGGATCAAATTAATGGCCCTGTGTGTGGTCCTGTTTCGTCCCTCTTTCCCAGGGCTGAAAACCAACCTGATCCGGGTGAATTATCTGGGGTATATGAGGCAGAAGTCTATTTGCCAGTATTTTGGAGAATAATTTCAGATCCATGTTCAGCAGAGCGTGAGGGAAAATGTATTCCTCATTCTCAAGGACTCAGTACTGAGTGGAAGCAATGGTAGCACCAATATCCAAAAAAGGTTCAAGATGCCAACCAGGGAACTATAGACCAGTCAGTCTAAGATCAATAGAATGCAAACTGTTTGAGGGAATGATAAAGAACTATTTAATGGATTTTGTTCAATGGCAATGGTATAAGTGATAATCAGCATGGATTTACAAAGGACCGTTCTTGTCAGACCAATCTACTAACATTCTACGAGGAGGTGAGGAGAAATCTAGATGGAGGAAAGCCAGTGGACGTAGTGTACCTGGATTTTGCAAAAGCATTTGACACAGTACCACATAAATGCTTAATACACAACCTGCAATCTATGGGCATAGGTGACTTGGTGAGTATGGATAGAAAACTGGCTACAGGAATGGCTCTTTTTCAAATAGGTCTGAGGTTGAGAGTAGGGATGAATATACAGATGTGCCACTTTACGGTCAGTGAAAGGGGACCCCCCAGGCACCATATATAAAGGAATTTTTCATTTTTAATGTTTCATTTTAAGTGATGTTAAATCACTGCTCCTTTAAAAATTGTATTTTTTAAAAGTGTTTTTTTCATTGATACATGTCCCCCAGGGCAGTACCCGGAATAAATATATATATAATCAGACTTCTGTATGTATATATATATATATATACAGGGTTTGAAAAATTTGATAGTGCCTCACCAGTCACACAATTTATGTTAAAAAAGTTTGGGGACAGATATAATTTAAAAAGTACCATAAATGTAAAAAAAAACAAAAAAGTTTCCCTACGTTATGTTATAAAACATTTATTCTTACCCATATTTTTAGTAAAACATAAAAGTCAGGGTCACGTCGAGTAAATAGACACCAAACATGTCAAGCCTTAAATTGCGTGCGTCCGCAAAAAAAAAAATCGCAAAATATGCCCATAGGTGCGGTCAGGTGCAAGACTGTAGCCAATTACCGTTTCGGACAGCGCAGTGCATTGTGGGATGTCCCGCGGTCGAACAGACCGCGGACATCCCATAATGTTCGGTGTTCGGCGAACGCTCGAACATGCTATGTTTGAGTCGAACATAGGTTCGACTCGAACGCGAAGCTCATCCCTAGTTGAGAGTGGCGTGCCGCAGGGTTCTGTGCTAGGCCCCATACTGTTTAACCTGTGTGTAAATGATATTGGGGGAGGTGTTAATAGCCATGTTTCTATGTTTGCAGATGATACTAAAATTGGGAGGGTAATAGACACGAGCTTAGACATTATAGGAGGACCTGGATAAAATAGGGGAGTGGGCAACTATGTGGTAGATGAGGTTTAATGTTGAAAAATTTAATTTAATGCATTTTGGAGTTAAAAATAGGCAAGCAGCATGAGTACTCCAGTAGGGATGTCAAAAATGGAAAAATATTTGGGGGTCATAGTTGACTACAGATTAAACAATAGCATGCAATGCCAGGCTGCAGAAAACAAAGCTAGCAGAGTGCTGTCATGCATTAAAAAGGGAATGTACTGTAGAGACAAAGCAATAATCTTGCCACTTTATAGATCACTGGTTCGGCCTCACCTTGAGCATGTGGTTCAGTTTTGGTCACCAATCCACAGAAAGCATATCCTTGAGCTGGAAAGAGTCCAGAGAAGGGCAATGAAACTAAGGGCCTGGAGGACCAAAGCTATAAAACAATGTTCCTAAATTTAAACTTTTTCAGGCTGGAAATGAGGCGATTGAGAGGGGATTTTGATGTACAAAATGTTTAATGGTGATGTCAACATCAGCAATAAACTTTTTATTGTAAACTCCATAAAGAAGACTAGAGGCCACCACCTAAAATTGGAGGAGAAAAGATTTAACCACAAAGGGTGAAGGGGCTTCTTTTCAGTTAGAGCGGATACATTTTGGAACTCTCTTCCACAAGAAGGGGTATCAGCAGAGAGTAATGAATCATTCAAAAATTAATTTTCAGTACCAAGAGCGGTAACCCCGAGCCAGACTCGGGATTTCACAGAAAAGCGTCACTTACCTTGTCCCTGCAAGCCCGCGGTATCCTCTGCTGTACGCGGCCGGCCGATGCCAGCATCTGAGTTTTAGTTTTGTTTTCGGGCGTCACAGCGGTGGGCGGAGACTGCGGGAAATTCAAAACTGAAAACATGACATTTACACAGAATACACACAATACAATGTAATCTGCTATGATTACACTTATGTATCAAACTATTTCACTTCAATTTTGTCCCTAGAGCTTTGTCCAGTGCCCTGCCTGCACTTTTACTGTTCTTTCTGCCTGGAAACTTGTGAACGTCCATGGCATCCAAAATGCGTCCCTTTAGGTCAAAAGCGGTTTTAGACGAGGTAGAAAACAGTGATAGTAAATTAGAATCACTTGCAGAATTGAGCGATAGCGATTCGTTGGGAAATTCATCATCAGCTCAAAATTGACACTAACTTTGGATTGAATGAAGCTTTAAGTTCACTTGGTGAGTAAAGACTCAGAGATTAAATAACTTGTGAGTTATTAATTATGTATACATTAATATTATTGGTTGTTGTTTAACAATAAACAACAATCAATAATATTGACGAATTTCCCAACGAATCGCTATTGCTCAATTGTGCAAATGATTCTAATTTACTATCGATGCTTTATTTGCATTGAGCATTTTAAGTCTTTGTTCTATTCCGCTTTCCGTCAATTTATTATATTATCATTTTTTAATATCGTGTTTCAAACTTTATCATACCTGGGATGTCTACTGGACTCTTGTTTGGACAGATTTAGGTGAGTTATTCCTAAGATTTACTAAGAATTATGGGCCTACAATATAAAACAACAAATTTCCATGAAAAACAATGTACCGCTTTGGGATGCTAAAATCCTGAATAATCATACCGCCAGGGAGGTTAAAGTCCCTGGCCTCTTGCTCCTCTGCCGCCACTGGGACCCAGCCTCCTCCTCCTCGGCTCCTGAGCCCTGGCCTCCTGACTGGGCCTCCATCTATCTCAGGGGCTCATCTGCATTTGGGTACCCTCTTTCATAAAGGGGCACCCAAATGTCACCCCTCCCTTGTGAATGAGTAAGGGGTACTTGTACTCATTCACTAAAAGGTTAAATAAAATGTAAATAAACACACAACACCTTAGAATTTTTTTAAATTCAACAAAAAGCAAAACACAAGTTTTTGACAATTCCTTTATTTAAAATGAATTTAAAAAATGTCCCTTAAAGTCATTCCAGCGTTGGCCGAAAAATTAATGCTTGATGTCAGTCACACAGGAGCGGACCTGAGAGAGAACTTTCTCTCTCAGGTTCGCTCCTCTGCAGAAGCACTAGCCATTCTGTTATTGGCTATTTTAAATTGCAGTAGTTAATAGCAGGTTGGCTATTGTTCCACTAACTGCCTTCTGTCAATCAGTTGAGACACTTTCTCTCCCAGGTCCACTCCTCTGGGACTGACAAAAGGTAGTGGGAGGCAGCCTTCTGCTATTGGCTATTTCAAAGTGCATCGGCATGGGGACAAGGTGCTTTTCCAACGGGTCCCCCCTGGAAAAGCACCTTCCCAAAGCCAAGGGCATGTGGCCTGGTATGGTGGAGGGAGGGGGCACTCGCTCACCCCACCCTTTCCTGCACTGCTGCTGTCCGGATTAAGGATCTGGTAAGGGATTTTAGAGGACTCCACTTTTTTAAAAACATTTTGGCATTGGGGATCCCCTAAAACTACTACTAGACCTAAAGGGTCTAGTATTACTTGCCGAGGAACTGCTTGCTGGTTTTTTTTGGGGGGGGCGGGGGTTTACATCAACTAAAGGGTCTAGTATGAATTGGAGGGGACCCCATGCTGTTTTTTGTTTGTTTGTGGTGTCAGCAATTAAAAGAAACAAAGAAAACATGTAATGTCACTTTTCTGCAGTGAATTTTAGTTGGTGATGATCATTTAACTCATCCGAAATTAACAAAGTTTGGATTCACCTGAATCCGAATACCAAAACAAATTCACTTTTAGACCCGAATCCCGAAAAACAAAACATACGAAATGTAACATATGTTTTGCTGGCTTACATGTCTAGTATTGTTTGTGTTTTTATTGTTCTATCTTTGTAACATTTTTTGATTTAAAATAATAAAATAAGACTGAACTAAATGAGCATGAGACAGGATACGGTGAGAATGGTACAGTTTTCAATTGTAACAGCAGGAACTATTACTGTTCGTCTTTGAATAAATATGAAAACAGATCAATATATTTGTCACAGTCACTTTTCATATAATATTAACTTCAATCTATTGCACTTTCCTTAAAGGCAGTACTTGATCACAAGTATAACAAGGCAGAATGTGATAGTAAAAAAGTATACTGCAGTGAAATTAAATTAGTCTGTTTTTTCATCTAATATGTCCCTGTGCACTGTCCACTAAGGTTGCCCGATTCCCTTTGTCGGAAAACAGCAGCCTCCTCATCTTCTTGCCTTTGGCACATGCAGTAGATGCTCTGAAAATAATGGAGAACCGTCTAAGTCAAGAAATTCTTTCATTGCTGATTAGACAGCTGGAAGAGGTGCCTATTCGAGCAACAGCTGTGTCTCTTCCTCAGCTCAAAATTGACACTAACTTTGGATTGAATGAAGCTTTAAGTTCACTTGGTGAGTAAAGACTCAGAGATTAAATAACTTGTGAGTTTTTAATTATGTATACATTATTATTATTGGTTGTTGTTTAAAAAGCACCCTTCTGCTTTTAACACCATTATTATTATTATCCAGGTGTATTTTCATGAAAAATGCTGGTGAGCTTTAACTACTCTTCTATTAGAAGTGTTCTGGTGTACTGTATTATAAACTAGCTGCTCAGTAGCGGTTACTCAGAAAATTATTAATACCGCGCAAAAAAATATTTGGGTGTTAGCGCCCTTTTTTTGGCCATAAAGAAAATATTGTATTCCAACTTCTGTCACCTAGACCTTAGTTTAAAATGTGTTTCTTGGAGTGCATCACAGTATACGACGTTAAATCCTTGCAGCTACCTCAGCTGGTTTGACTCACTGAGCTGCAGGCTACAGGACTGAAGGGACAAAGTGAGTTTAATATTAGCAGTAGTTTTCTTTGTCTCAAGTTGGAGTACTTGTTTAAGCTGTAACAACCATGAGAGTTTCGAGTTTTTGGAAAACACATGATTTCACAGGAAATTAATGTGCATGGTTATCTATCTAAAGTTTCGATGTCATATGCAGCAGTTGCTATGGTCCTATTTGATGCTGAACCACCGCCCCATGTTTACTCGATATAATTAACTAACTCAAGGAATAAACTTTGAGTATTGAGCGGACATCACACACCTTTGTATCTGTGTTGATTCCCATATCTTGAGCTCGAGAGTGTACCGATTCAGCAGAAGAGAAGTAAAAAGTCCATGGCAGATTTGACCCTGGGGTTATCACAGAGTAACCCATCAAGGGCAGTCCTGCATAACTCCCACGGACTCCCTGCCTGCCTCCATTTTGTAGCACTAAAGATTAGCAGTTTTGTAGTAGTAAAAACTCAATAACAAAAGAAAGGAGGGTCTATGAAGAAAGATTTTACAGCTAAAAAAATAATAAATTTTTATTGATTGTATATCACAAGGGAATTACATCCATACACTTCTGGGACGTGGTGTCAAAAGCAGACAATGCAGCGAATATCAGCTACCAGGTTGCTGGCTTGGCTTGAAGCTCGATAAGCTGGTTTGGCCAGATGATGACAGAGAATCTAGAAGGGCCCTTGGATAGTTTGTCAGGAGTTTGAAAGAACCAGTACCTTTTGGGCCATTCGGGAGCAATGAGGATCAATGTTATCTCGATCCAGAAAAGCAGGCAAAAGAGAACGGGAACAGATCACATGGCCCCCCAAGCATCCCTTGTCCCTGGCATCAAACCTGTCCAGTGTATTGAACCTAGACATCAAAAGGTCTGTGCCTGGAACCTAGGGGCTCCAAAAACTTCAAAATAGAGAGACTAATCCACAGGGTTGTGGATATTTGGATATGTAAAACAGCTGTTTAAGAACTTGAGTATAGAAATCCTGTACTTCAACTTAAGGGAAATGCCTGCTCTTTATGATAGGACTCTTAGAATTTGAAAATTTCCATATTTTTCCTCTTTCTCAGGTAGTGCTATTGCAGACATTGGAAAGAAAGAGGGGAGTTCTCTGAGGGAGCTGGAGAGGGGTCTGCTTGAACCCCCTACAGCCAAATGAATCATCAAAGAGACATTTTTTTGAAGGAAATTGTGTTAAATTTCCTAGGTATGAAATGTGAGAACGTCTCAGCGGAAACAGAGGATAACCCAATTTCTTCTCTGGCCCAAATCTAGAACTTGGCTCAGCATTGCATTCTGTGAATGAAGTAAATAATGCTATACCACATATACAAATACTGCCTATTTCTCCCTTTAACACAAGTACTTTGTTAGTATTAAAAGTAAAAGCAGAATATTGTGAAGTGTGACTGCTTTAAAAAAATGGTTTGTTTTGGCACTATTGGCAAATGATGACTGTAATCACTTGCATGCTAAACAATACCCAAAGGAGGCCTACTATTGTAAAAGATAAAGGATGTCAAACTCCATCTATACATAAAACACCCAAAGTAAATTATTTTGTTAAGATTATTATTTAATAATAATCATCCAATAATTATTTTATTAGGATATAATAAACAATGATTTTATTAAGATTAAATAAATATATTTGAACTGACAAGCTACTGCATGCAATCTAGTTCTTGTTTTTGTGCTCTTTGTATTGTTCTTGTGGTTCTAGATAAAAACAAGCTTAAAACAATTTACAATATTGTAAAAAAATAATAGATTTATTAAGACATACCTTTTATAAATGTAGATGTTATTGTGGTATATATAATCAGAAAGTATCAGCAGAAATGAAAATGGAATTGATGACAATTTGATGTTCCATTGACAATGTTCAAAAATATTAATGTATTCATTTAGATTAATTAAAATAGATAAAAATATGCAGCGCTATGGGTCCTAGATGAATGCACATTTAGAAATATCTAAATGTGTTTATATAGTGTTATACAGTGCAAGAATTATAATGTTGCATGTATAAATATTTGTAAACAACTCCTCTAATAAAGTGCACCAATCAAAAATCTTTTGTGCATGTGCCTGTGAAGCCTTAACATAAACACCTTAACATTTGTATTTATACATAGACTAATTAAATGTGCATTTTCAAGTGTGAAAACAACTCTTTTTGTGTGCTCCAATCCAAATCAAGTGCTGCTCACCTTTTCCCCAGGACCTTATCTTGAAAAAGCATCAGGTCACAAGCGTTTGTATATGTAATCCACTTCTTTGATCTTGCCTCTCCTTTCTTATCTCACATGGAGAGAGATACTGCTCCTCTTCCTTATCCCTCGTACCCGATAAATTATGCCAAAAGAAAACCATGTACCGTATATACTCGAGTATAAGTTTGCCCACCGGAGCAGCAGTGACGCGACGCTCGGCGAGGTAAGTAAGAAGAAACCTGACCAGCGTACTCACTTTCCTCAGTTCTCGAGACGCTGACTCGAGTATAAGCCGAGGGGGGCATTTTTCAGCACAAGAAATGTGCTGAAAAACTCGGCTTATACTCGAGTATACACGGTACCATAGTGCAACCAGTATGTATTTAAAACTAGATAAAACACTTGTTCAGATTCTTTCTTGATAACAGCCTCTTATGTGCGCTGGAGATTTTCATTCCTCTCACTACCAAGCTTCACTTAGGTGTGCTGACGTCACTGACTCTGCCCTATGCGTTGCCTCACTTGACGAAGTCACATCATTAAAGGAAGTCAAATGACGCGTAGGGCAGAGTCAGTGACGTCAGCACGCCTAGGTGAAGCTTGGTAGTGGGGCAAAGGAAGCTTGGTAGTGGGATTACATTTACAAGTGCTTGTGACCTGATCTTGTTTCAAGATAAGGTCTTGGGAAAATGGTAAGCAGCACTTGATTAGGAGTGGTGCACTGAGCATGAGTGTGGATAATGTGTAAATGAAGTTCAGCAGTGAATTGTTGGAGCCTGTTTGTTTTCAGGAAAAAGACTGAGTTGTTTTCACACTTGCAAATGGACATTTAATTAGTTCATGCCCAACACAAATGTTAAGGTACTTATGTAAAAGCTTCACAGACACATGCACAAAGGTTTTTGATTGCACTTTATTAGAGTTAATATTTACAAATATTTATGAATGCTCATATAGGAACAGATGTTCCTATATGAGCATTAATCTAGGACCCATAGCGCTGCATATTTTTAACTGTTTGTTTGATAAAAGTTGATATAATGTGTACCTGCAAGCAGCTTTAGTGTTGTAAGGAAAGGATATTATTGTTTAGCACTTAGCACAGAAGTTACTTGAAAACTATCATTTACATTAATTTTTTATATTCACTAGATCAGGGGTGCCCACAATTTTTCGTCTGGAGATCTACTTTTCAAATGACGAGCTCAATAAGATTTACCAATGAAAAAACACCTGCATTCGGGGCGGGAGGGGGCGTGGGCATGCATTGAAGTCAATGGCACCGCAGCCAAGCCCCTCACCCACAGTGTGATCGCCTGTACCCGGAACACAGGCACATTAGTGCCTGCGTTCCAGTCCAGTGCGATCCACAAAAATGCTGCAAGCACTATTTTTGCAGATCGCACTGGACCAGAATGCAGGCACTAATGTGCCTGTGTGCCGGGTGATCACACTGTGGGCGGGGGGCATGGCTGCGGTGCGGTGCCATTGACTTCAATACAACCCCACACCCCCTCACGCCACTGAACGCAGGGAGTCAGGCGGCTTGCATTCAAGTGCGTCCTAGAGGCCCCGGCATCCTGTCCTCCCGCGCTGCTTGTGTGGCCGACGTTGCACATGAGGAGAGGTGTCTGACACATACAGCCGGCAGCCGCCCGAGGCAAAAAAAACTTGCCCCCTCCCCCAACAGGCGTGTTTTTATTTTTATTTTTTACTATTTCTTATTTTATTTTTATTATATCTTATTTTTTATTCAATTTGTTTTTTTTATTTTAATAATTTTTTTTACTCTTGGTGGGTGGCTAAACAGCCCCTTGATATTTCCCTTTTAAAATACAAAAAGAAATTGAGGACACAAAGTCCTCAATCTCTTTTTCTGCAGGCTCTGTTCTAAATGAATGGAAAGCACAGAGGCTTCCCATTCATTCAGGAACTGTTTACTATAGTCCAGTTTCTGAATGGGGAGGAGCCTCTGTGCAGAGTGCTTCTCACCATTGAGAAACTCATGAATGAACAGGAAGTGATGCAAATCACATCCTGTTCATTCATAACTGGGGACACATAGTACTATGTAAAACAGCAAAACGTTTTCCTGGCACACTCACAAGCTAGCATGTAAAAAAACTTGTCTCACCACTAAGGTTAACCACTTGCTGACCGTGGTGTTTTCACCCCCTTCCTGTCCAGGCCATTTTTCAGTATTCAGCGCTGCGGTACTTTGATTGATGTTTATTTCGTCATGCAACGCTGTACTGAAATTAATTTTATACCATTTTTTGTGTGTGTAAATGTGTATTTATTATGTGATCAATTTTTTTTTACACTTAACTTTATTGTAGGGCTGTGGAAATTAAAGATTCATTTCTCAATTAGTCGTTAAACTTTTTGATCGATTAAAATTATTTTGATCGCTAATGAAAACACTCACCTCTCCGCCGGCTTCCGGGAGTCCAGTCGGAGATCCGGTGACGTCACGGGCATCGACGTCACCGGACTCCTCCCCCCTTCCCCAAGTGGCTTCGTTGGCTAACGAAGGGAAGGGGGGGAGGAGGAGTCCGGTGACGTCAATGTCCGTGACGGCTAATGAAGGGAAGGGGGCAGGAGTCCGGTGACGTCGATGTCCGTGACGTCACTGGACTCCTCCCCCCTTTGTTAGCCGACAGGGCCACTTGGGCTGGTGAGTTTGCCCAAGAAACTTTCTGCAGGAGCGCCAGCCAAGGCATTGGCCTATACACATACAGCACAGCAAGGAAGTAATAAAATGAACTAGGATCACACTAATCCAGCACATTATTATTCTGAGTTGCCCCACTCAAGCAGCGGCCATATTGAGTGGGGCACGTGAGGTTAATAACATGCTGGATTAGTGTGATCCTAGTTCATTTTATTACTTCATTGCTGTGCTGTATGTGTATAGGCCAGTGTAGTTGGCTCTGTATGTGCGTTATAATTAATCGAAATTAATCGATTACTCGATTTAAAAAAAATTCGATTAATCGAACACGAAAATTTTAATCATTACCAGCCCTACTTTATTGTTATCACATAGGGTGCTCCTATGTGATAACAAATTACAGTTACAGGTCCCCTTTATGGAGACATCAGGGGTCTCTAAGACCCCTAATGTCACCTAGGGACCCCCAGAGAAGCTAATGAAGCACAGATCTGCTTCATCAGCTTCTCTCCGGTTTCTGTACCGGAGAGTGACAGAGGAATGCGGAAGTGATGTAATATACATCACTTCCTGCATTCATAGACCGGGAGGAGAGCGTAGGGAGATCGTGGACTGATCCCCCTACGTTCTCACTGCACAGAGCCACATCACCCGGGATCGCGGGGACGACGGCAGCGGGGACAGCAACGGCGACGAAAGGTAAGGAGGGGGGGGCACACCCTCACTTGCATCATACAAGCAATCGAGTGTCTTTAAAGACGCCGGACCGCTTGTATGTAAATGGCCATCGCTGGCTGTTTAAAATCCTGGCGGGTTCCCGCTCGTGAGCGCCAGGGGGCGCGCGCGAGCGGGCACGAAGGACGTCTAAAGATTTCCACCCGCATTCAGGAGACTCCCGTCCGGCCATCTATCAACGATTGGCAGACGGGAAGTGGTTAAAAACAGAGGTTTGGATACACGTCTTTTGCAGAAAATGTGAAAGCCGCACACCCTCGTCAAGGCACCTCCCATAGTGCGGTCCTAACTCTAAACTATCAGAGTCTCCGTCTCGGAGCAGAAAATAAAATTGGGTGCAGGTTTGTCAGGAGGAAGCCCAACCCGCCTTAAAGGCACAGGAACGCACAAGCGATCCCGCACATCCCAATGTCAGCTGAGACCCCCCATGCATCACTGCACCAAATCAGTCAAGCAAAACAAATGACAAAACACTCATCAATTCGTCACCAGCTTTACAGCAAGGTGCACACGGAATGGGCTTTAAACAGTAAAACAGCAAAACGTTTTCCTGGCACACTCACAAGCTAGCATGTAAAAAAAACTTGTCTCACCACTAAGGTTAAGAACAGAGGTTTGGATACACTTCTTCTGCAGTCTCACCACTAAGGTTAAAAACAGAGGTTTGGATACACGTCTTTTGCAGTGGTGAGACAAGTAAAGCTGGTGACGAATTGATGAGTGCGTTTGTCATTTGTTTTGCCCAGTTATTTACAAACACTGGAGTGATCAGTTGATCGCTCCAGTGTTTGTACTGCACAGAGGATCGGTACATATCACTGGCAGCGGTGGATCCGAGGAGAAGTGAACGAAGCGCTGCAGCCGCGGGGCAGTGGAGGACGGAGCAGCTTTCACAGATCTAAGGCCGAGCGGTGAGGTGAGAAAGAGGCATGAAGCACCAGGACATCGCGATCTACCAGTGATCGCTACGCGATCGACTGGTAGATCGCAATCAACGTAATGGGCTCCCCTGCACTAGATTTTGCCTGACAAAACGAAATAAAGTAGTGAAACTAATGACCAGGTGGTAAGTAAGCATCTCAGAGCAAAAAAAAACCTCAGTGATCTTGTGCTCCAGCACGTCACCATATTTGGAGACCAAAAATCCTGTATTGAAGTGCAAATTAGGACTGCCTAATTTGCACTTCAATACATTAATTTTGTGTGAGCACATTCCTTACCACACTGAGGTTATAAGTGCTCTGAGTGGCTGATGTACAAGATGAGTGATCCATTTGGGATTGATTCTTTCAAATGATGTATTATATGTCAGTCTATTGAATCCAATTTAATTAATCTTCCAAACTTTCTAGCAACTGCTCATGTTTCAATGGATCAATACATTGATATATTTGTAGCAACTGAAACATTAATGGCTGATATAGTTTCATCACTTCCACTTTATGTTCTGCGGATATATTTATACTTGCTGAGATTCTGAAGCTTTAAGTGGTATTGAAGGTTTATAGCGTGACTATTAGAAATACATTTTAACAATGCATTGTTTCAGATTGAAAAAGTATACCTACTTGTTTTACCTGTTTTTTTTTTTTGTTTTTTTAGGCCTCTATGATCTGTTTGAGTATCCAAACCTATGCGCTCTTTCAAATAGCACCGACATTGCTGTAAATGAGGTCCACCATCGTGCACTCCTTGAGATCAAAGAGGAAGGAGTTAAGGCTGCGGCTGCCTCTGCTGTAACCATTGCTCGCACTGTTACTGTTTTTTCTGCCCGACGACCTTTTTTTTTTATTCTAATGTCTGGTAATAGTAGGGTTCCTATACTTATTGGTCATATTAGTGACCCAAGTCAGTAAGGAGAGAAAAAAAAAAGCTAAAGAATATACAATTATTCTAGATAATCAAAACTATGTTTTTGCAAGCTGCATAATTTCAGAATTTCTTATGTATAAATCTTATATCTAAATAAATGCCCACTAATTGTTCCTATCTCCTTTTTGCATTTTTACCCCACTGCTGTGAAACATGTTCAAATATAAACTATCAGACTGGATTTCATTTCTTCATTTTGCACCTTTCTATATGAATTTTGGCTGCTATAAAGATGAAAGCTGAGCTAGCATCCAGAAAACCGATGGAGCTCTGAACATAAGTGAGCACAATTCTGGTTCTTCCCCCACAACACAGGTTAATTGACTGTTAGAAAAAAAAAGATGATGGGGAGGTGAAAAGGGGAAGGAGAACAGAGAGAAAATAAAGTTGAATAAGGGAGAAGACAAAGAAATCTGTTAGGGGTATAATGTCAGAGATCAAACAATCACACTGTGAATACACAAAGGAGCAATCAATAATGTCTCCAAAAGGGCAGGTAAAAACAAAATCAACCTAATAATACCAGTCCTGAGTTAATTGCTCCTCCTTATGATACAGAACTTCTGAAGCTTACAATATAATTTAAATGGCCAGAAGATGGAAGACAAAGGGATTTAAGCTCTGGCAGCATTCATTAGATGTATCAGTAGGGACTTTTTGTAAACCAGATACAAAAGTAAAACAGCTGATGCGACAAAACCAGGGGATATAGCCATATGAAGGATGTGATGTAACCGCATTGGCTTGGGTAAATCATGTAATATAGATCCTGTATAGAACACAGGCCTGAATGACGGAATCAGACCAAATGTATTTTAATTTCAAACTATTGGAGGTCTGAATACTGGTGATGGTGGGACCAGTAGTGCATGCAATAAGTCCACTGGCTTTTGATAAAGAAAGTTGGTGTGCTCAATCAATGGGAGGCAAAACAAGGGCAGAGAAGATACTGCCCGCTCCAATGGTATCTGTGTCAACATGATCAATTATCAATGATTTTCTCTGTCAACATACTCTACAGTATATGTGTAGCTTGAAGATAATTAATGGCTTATTAGCCCAAAGAAAGGAGGCAAATCAATTCATTACCAAGAGGAATTCCCCATATACAATGTCTTCAGATCTTGACCAATATAAGTCAGGCATCAGGAATGGCGGGAAGCTTGCTGCAAATTCAGTAGATGTTACATTAATTCCCAAATATATAAGATGAAATAATGCCCTTTTGGAGAAGGAAAAGCCACTATGGGATGGGTCAGAACAGTATGGTTAAGTCTTTCAGACTTTTGTAAATTGATTTTAAACTTCAATAAAGAGCTATAAAGTCTGAAATTCCTGCAATTAATTGCAGTGAAATTGTATAATTCTTTATGAAAAATATTCAGTGTAAGTTAGAGTAACTAGCAGTCTTATGTTCAAAAAAGCTGTTTAAAAAAGCTGCAGGTTTTTCTATTTTAGGTTTCGGATTTAGCCGCAGAGCATTTTTACACACCTGCATGTGCATTGCTCCATTGAAAAAAAAATTCCTACGTTCAGATCCATTAACCAAAAATGCTTTGCATTTTTTCTTTTTTACTGCCATGTGCATGATGCATAATAAGTTCCCTTAAGGCTTAACTGTTACTCTGCGTTGCACAGAAGATTATTTAAGATGGTCTCTCTTGCTCTGTAATTCTACCGCCAATACCTGAGCTATAGCAAATTCTTATGTTCGGATTCTAGCTTACGGATCAGGAGCTAAGTGATTGGCTACCGCCTCCAATGTAACCACCACCCATCGAACATAACACTTAGAAGCTTCCAATGTAATTTAGAGGAAAGGGTATCACAGGGTGCTGTTGACTCGAAAGGAGAAAGGTGGAAATTTCTAAGCCAAGTTTGAATACAGAGCGACGGTTAGAGTAAAAAAAAATCAGAAAGCAGAAGAACAGAAGACTAGAACACAACAGTGAAAAAGCACAGTACAAACATAGAAAACACAATGAATAACATGTAAAGAAAATAATATATTGAAACCCAAAGCCCATGTCAAACATATCCCTCACAGAGCGGAAAGAAGTTGCCTGTATTGGGGCTAGTGACAAGTCCCTAGGAGGTGCTCTCAGGGTTCATAGAAGGTGACTAGTTTTCTAACAAGATCAATTGCATACATAAATTTAACCATGGGGTACAAAGAGATCACCAACTAGACAGTACCAGCACCATTATCTCCATCAATGATGTAATGTAAAACATACTATCAGCCAGTCGACCCCTATTGTGATACCACCCGTGCCACACTCTATCTAAACTTTACAAAATGGTAGAAATAACATTACAGCCCTTTTCAGCAAGTTAGTAAAACAAATGAACTATGACAGAGCCTGGCCCTGAAGCCCTAACGGCTCTCATTCTCTCTCTGCGGTGCCAGGATTTTGCCCTGGTTCTCATAAAAAGTAGAAAGAGCGGCATGAGTACCCAAAGGTATGATTATCTGCCAAGTAGCCATATAGTGGGCTATAGCATGAAGCAATAGTCTCTAAGAAAAGACCCCAGAACAGATAAGATAATTTTGCCTTCATTATTGGATATCAGCCTGCTGTAAAAAACACATACATAGTCTCCCTTAAAGAAACAGTGGAAATAAAACATATAAAGCCAGGTCCCCACACCAATGGGTGTGTGTTCATACAGTCATTTTGATTTAGTTTTTGACATCTTTAGTACATTAATTACTGATCAATCAAGATAACATCAGGGTGCAAAAAACAGTCAATACACCATGAACTCCAACATTGCACAATTGGTATTTCATTGCACACATCTAAACGTTCAACCTTTGCACATTTGAAAACAGGAAAAAAGAAAAGAAAGGAGGTTAGTAGAAATCTATGAATGAAGGAGACAAGGTGGTAGCCTAAATGGCCTATGGAGGGCAGAGAATGGCAGTGTGTGATCAAAGCCCTGTAATTAAAGTACAACGAAAAGGAAAATGGCATTCTACCAAACTAGTTTACCTTTCTCCGAAATGTTGTGTGCAGATAACACTATGCCAAAGATAAAGGCAGTAGAGGCAACATAGTCTTTTAACTACAGAAGAATTTGAAGGACATGAACATGTAAACATGTTTTGATATCGTTATCAAAAGCATCATAGGACTAACTGAAAAACTGGAGATGGCAACAAATTATGAGAAATGATGGAAATGTGGTAGGGAGATAAGTGGATTAGTGATGTAGTGCAGCACATCATCTGCCATGAGACTTAGTTTATACTCCCCACTACTGTGCGAAACTATGAAACTAACCCACATCTTCCCAAAATATAGAACAGGTATGGCCAGGACAAGGCGTCAAAGATTTTTTTGAATAAATCAAATCAAATTAATTAAATCAAATAAATGATAAATCAAAATATGAATTTACAACTAGCCAATATATAGCCAATCTGATCCCTGTGAAGGTCCCTTATCCCTTGATTCAGTATGGTAGCCAATTATATTGCCACAATTCGATGTTAATGTTTAGTAAAGTGATAGGTTTAAAATTTGAATGATTGAAAGCATCAAGGTTAAGCTTCAGAATCTTAGCAATGATGCCTGAGATTCTGTTGTTAATTAAAGCCATCCTGTAGAAAGGGAGGGACAGGAGATATGGGTAGTTTTTGTACCAGGTGGCCATACGTCTAATGAGAGGAATATTTGAGAAATGGTCATGGTCAGAAAAGGTGAAAAGTTCAAATAGGTGTAATTGAAAACAACTGAACTAGTTTGACTGTGTTAGTAGGTGGCCATACACTGTACAACCATCGCAAGACCTTAGTCCTGCGATGGTTGTAAAGTGATTAAAAAAACGTACGATCTGCCCATCTTGGGCAGGCAGATCGTACTCTCGATCATCGCAAGCCCGCCCCCCTGAGGGGCGGGCTTCCGATGACCGCAATGCTGAACGGGCAGTGTGCGCGTGCGCACCCCGGCCCGTTCGGCATTTGTCTCCCGAGCACTGCTCAAACCAGCCGAAAATCGTACGATTCTCGGCTGGTTTTCTAGCATGCTCCTTAGACAAAAGACGTGCAACCGTACAGTAGAAACGGTCGCACATCTTCGTTCACACTGCTCGATTCTCGTACGATTGCGGGATTTCCAGCGATTCTCGTACGAGAATCGAGCAGTGTGTGGGCACCTTTAGGTAGTATAATTATCCTCTTCCACAGGAAGGTGAAATTGTCGGACTTGCGTGAACCAGTGGTTAGGACGGAATCTAATATGTCAGGATTGAGAGAAATAGTAACTCATGCATCTAGATGAGATGTAATTGAAGATCACATTTGTCCCTTGTGCAAGGAGGAGCTGTTGAAGCGATCTTTCTGAAGTGTAAAAGCAAAGATATCAGCCTTACGAACAATATAACTAATATCAAAAAGAATTTAAGGTTTAAGGGTTAAGTTATTCATTCTAGAGAAGGGTGGTCATTAAAAGACCAGCTAGGGTTGGTTTGTGTGGCTAGCCAGGAAGAAAGAATGAGCACTAATGCTGAGTGATTAGTCCATATTATACAGTAGGTACGCAGGGCAGCCTTCAGAAATGTTGGGGCCCCTTACACAGTTTTAGACCTGGGCCCCCCTCCACACTGCTGCCCCCCACCGCTGTCGCACTGAGCCAGTCACATCAGTCTGTGTACAGAGGAGCTTACACTCTAATGCCCCCCCCCCCACAGTCACATACTATTATTATACATTTATATAGCTCTCAGACTCACGGCTTAGTGACGCGCTGGACTCCGGTATACACCAAGATGGCAGCGCACACATGTTCAGGTTCTGTCATCTTGGTGTATACCAAGATATACTCCAAAATGGCGGCATGCGCAGAACAGGCTGGCGGCCAATACGGCCGCCGCTCGATCTGCACTTTTTGTGCGGTTTCGGATTCGGAGACTCATTGCCTCTGAATCCAAAACAACATTAAAATTAGTTTCCTTTGACGAAACAAATAAAAATTTTTCTCATTTTCATT